GCATTGTGTTACTGTTTGCTGAACATGGTACAAGAAGAATAAAAATCCATGTTGGCCAATGAACTTCATGACATTCACAATCCCCCCCCCCCCCCCCGCCATTGTTTGTGTGTGCCCCAGGGAAGAAGATACTAAAATCACATAAGTACATAAGAACCACAAACATAATGAAGGATCAGATTCATGTCCTGTTATCGCTCTCCTATGCTGGAGCCTTTATTTTACACCATGGTCTCGCTTAATGTGTGTAAGTGATTTTTCCTGTGTTCTAGGGACCTGCTCTGATTTCAGTATCAGACGCCACAGGTCTCTATAGTAGCTGTTGCAAGCCTGAAGAGTTCAATTTGCCATATGTGCGCGGTGTTTGTGTACTGTGTGTGTTATGTCGAGGGTGCAGGTCAGAGACTTGCCAGATTCTCATTAGCTGGCTCCAGCAGGCCAGCAATGTCTAATGAACTCTGCAGCACGGTATTGTCTCTTCCACTCAGCAGGGAAATCACATTATGGACCTCATCTTTGCCATCACCCGCCTCTTTAGGAACATGTGCTCACAGCCTCATCAACACCTTAGGGTCTCTTAGAAAGTCTGAGGGGTTCACAGATTCAGCATCCGTGTCCTTATCTCTACTTTTCTCCCCCACTGGTGTTATATTTAGATCCTCAGTCAGTGGGTTCACACTGAGACAAATACAACCATAAAAAACAGAGTTCAGAGAGGTGTTCAACATTGTGTAACGATATTGAAGTGCGGCTTTTTATAGCAGTTGTGTTGTCCTAATTGCCCACAATGTGTTGTATTTGTTGTTTTTACTGTATAGAGTGAAAAGGTTAACTCACACATCCACCTACAGTACCTGCCGTCCACATTATGGGAAAAACAAGATTGACTCCTACTCACAAATTACTTCTCTGACATTGACTGGAATTGTAGAGTTTGGCAGCTTTCCAATAAAACACAGTTGTGTGTGATATGAAGCATCAGCTTTTACATATTTATTGCAAACTGCAGGCAAGAGACACAACACAGCAATACTCTCATTACACTTACTGGGAATTGTATTAATAATCCAGTTGTCACGGTAAGTGGTGGTAGGCAGGGTTCAGCAGGCTGCAGGACCCAAATGCAGGACACGTAGAGAGGTGCAGGAACAGTTCAGAAGGGTTTTAATACAACAAACTAAAGGCAAGCACACTTACAAAGAGTGGCTGAGTCCAAAATCCAAAACAGGTAATCCAAACAGAAATCCAAATCCACAGAAAACAGGGTGACACGACAAGCAGGCAAACAGAACATCACACGACAGAGCATCTACACGCAACACAGGGAGACAGCATACAATGACCCGACAAAGACAAGACAGAAACACCAGGTATATATACACACACAGGGACTAACGAGCAGGGCGGGAGCAACACAGGTAGACATGAGGCTAACGAGGCACAGGTAGGCAGAGAGAGAGAGAGCAGGGGAAAACAGAGACAGACATGCAAAGGGATCACTGGGGAAACAGACATGACAAAGGTTACTAAACACTAGACGACAGACAAGACAGAACCCCAAAACCCAACAAAACAACAGATAATAAAACTGACTAAAAGTACAAAACATGACATGGCAGACAGGATCGTGACACCAGTGATTGTAAAAAAATGAATGACTGATAATTACGAAGAATATAAGCCTCAAATGTTACATTGAAACCGAAATCATTAAGAGTCACTAATGGTGTGCTATTTTTCTTTGTGAAATTGAAATGAAACTAAATGCCATGTTAAAGACATTCACTCAACAAATGCAGTGGAAATTATGTTTTTACAATCAAAGATGGATTGCCGACCTGGCAAAAAGGGCAACTGGCCCCTAAAAGCCATAGGTTCACTGTGTGTCAGATGGTTGTTCATAATTTCAATGAAGTTGCTAAAATATGTTTTCAGTGGTGTATAAAGACCTTACAAAATGAACCATTATGTTTTTATTACCTTAGAATGAGCCATTTCTATCTATATACACCGCAAGTCCCCTTACATGTAAATCGCCATTGTTGCGACACCATTTTTCTACAGTAGCCCAAATGGACAAAGTGCTGGAAGAAGAAGAAGAAGAAGAAGAAGAAGAAGAAGAAGAAGAAGAAGAAGAAAGTGGACAACGACGACAACGACAACGTCTGGTTTATTAGAAGTAAGAAGAGATTTTGGAGAAACGGAGGACCACATATCATTTAGCACAAGAGCCGACAGAGCGTGTCAACCACCATAGCTTCTCCTACGTGCTTGCACCACGGTGGGTGAGCAGTTGGTTGCAATTTGCCACTCTCACCACTAGATGACACACCTTTAAAGGGAGAGTATGTGATTCGGCAGAAGGATTGTTGACGTTTGAACTCAACTGCTAAACAAAGACACCCCTCGCTTCAGTGCTCCCTCAGAAGCTCCACCCCCCATATTTCAAATCTTTCAGGTTCTGCCTTCGCCTTGCCTTGTCATATAACTTTCTTCTCTGTTTATACTCTTCAGACCTTTTCCACTTTGGCTGTTTCTCTCCTTTCTCGCCTTCTCCACAGTGCCTGGAGCCCAGCACATTCGAATGTGCCAGTGTATAGAACTTTTCCTCACTGCCCCTCCTCCCCCCTTCTCTCTTGTGCACGATAGTGATGGCAAGTTCGACTCTTTTGACAGACTCGTTCATTCAAATCTCAATATATGAATAAACACACTCTTATTAAAATTCAGCCAGTTTAATAATAATCTGGATCAAGCCACCAAGTTCGTAAAGAACTCCAGCACAGAGAGAGGAACAAAGAAAAAAACATGTAAACGCAGCAGTTTGGCAGTTCTGGACGCAGAATGGGCCGCATCAGGTCCGGATTCTGCAGACAGAGAAACACACATGAGCACATCGCTCTCAAACACTGCAGGTTGTTCACCAGTCACGAGCTGTGAAACAACAGCTAACAGCTGATCCAGGTCCGCCAGCAGGCTCTGGATCATCTGTTAGCTGTTTACAGGGCTAACGCTAACGTTGCTATGTGGCTGTGTGTTAATGACCGGGTCTGTTTGTTTCGGAGAGGAGACTATCTCTGAGGTAATTCGGCTCCTGGTAGAACCCTGTCAGGGCTCTGAAGTGGAGCCAGAACAACTCTCATCAGCTGTTAGCTGTAATGTTAAACACTAGCAGGACTAAAGTTACGGTGCGGCTGTGTTAAAACTATAAGTTAGCACAACATCACTGCGCTGTAATAATGTTATGATTTATTAAATGTCACATAATAAACAAAATAGCTATATAATGTCAGTCCAGTGACTGTTACCTGACAGCCGACCTGCCTCTCATTCTACAGCGCTGGCAGTCACTCAGCCTGCAGAATGAACGAAAGACTGAGGAGGACCCATGTGAGCGGTGAACGAGTCTAACCTAGAGACCCACCATTGCTATGAGTTGTGAACTAATCAATTCTATTTCCTGTGCTGACGGAGCCCATGCAGCTGCCGTGTGATAAGTGAACGTAAGAGTTCAAGATCCTTCACGCATGCGTGAAAATGAACGAATTACTCACTGATTCAACCCGTTCCTCCCAAGTCATACACACGATTAGGTCTTATGTGTGTTGGATTACCATCACTTACTATCCCTTTAACTGCAAATTTGTGGTATGCTATAGGACACAACTGCCGACAGCCTCCATGTGTTCAGCACATGCTACCATGTGACTGTATCCGTGTTTGTGCCACACCAATGTTTAATAGAAATCACTGTATAATTATAGTCCTCAAGAATCAAATCTTCACACTTCATTTTAATGTAATGTAATGAATGTAATAATTATTAAATATGGTCATTCCATGAGGCTTGATTGATGTATGTATTGTATCTCTCATTTGAAACTGTTAGCTCTCATCAGCTCCTTTAGTGACAGACTGCTGCACCCACAGTGCAAGAAGGAGTGCTACTGCAGGTCCTTCATTCCAGCTGCTGTCAGACTCTACACAGCAATGACATAATGTAGTACACTGTAACATCAACACTCATCACTGTCACTCATCACTTCATTCTTTTTTTCCTCATTCCTGTACTGCATCTATATTATTTACCCTAAACTATACTATCCTATTTTTGACCTGTGCAATCAAATTTATGTGTTCATTTTCTACATCGTGCCTCTACCTCCTGCCGAGACCTGTGCAATGTTCATATCAATCGCATCTGTATCTAACAGTGTATATGTATATTCTTATTTTTTTCTCTTTCTACTATATATTGTATTTTTCAATTCTATTTTTGTGTGTATCTAGAGCTATCATAACAAGTTTCCAATTGTGGGATCAATAAAGTCTCTCTTATCTTATCGTAATCAGCTTTTTGTAGAGTATATGCATGTGGCATTGCTGTGGCTTTGCCAACCTTTTCTCTGGGATATTTCTCTGCATTTGGCACTTTGGGACTGAGAATCCCACTAATTAGGAAGCCTTAATTACTGCCTTGCCCCTTCTCTCCCCTCCCACTCTTTTCCCACTCCCACTCTCACCGTTCCTTTTCTGTCCTAACCCTGCACTCCAATTTTGCAACCTTTTCGTCCGCCTTTAGTCAGGTCTCTTCTCCCTCTCTCTTTTTGTCTCCAAGTCCGCCCATGTTTTTTCTAGCTACGCATTTTCCTCACCTCTTCCTTTATCTCTGTCTCTCTGTGGGGTTGATGAGTGAGTTATCCCGCTGTAATTAATGTGGGAGAGGAGTGAGGATCAAGGAAGCAGGGAACACACCCCTGGCTTCCTCTGCACAGCAGCAGCGTGTGAAAGCACCTCCATTAATCAGGCCCCTCTAAAAATGTATGTGTGTGCATGTGTAATAAGCGAGAGTCTGAGAAAGAGAAGACAAGAGCGTGAAAATTAGATAAAGTGCAAGGAGACAGCACTAACTGTATTTGTTTATTAAATAGGGTTTTGTTGTCTTGCTTTTCCTTTCATCATTGTTCTCTCCTGACCTCCATCTGTCTTTCTCTCCACAGTTTGGCAGAACGGAGGTGATAGATAACACTCTAAACCCTGACTTTGTTCGAAAGTACATCTTGGACTACTTTTTTGAGGAGAAGCAGAGCCTTCGCTTTGACTTGTGAGTGATTTCCTTTGAAATCACATAATCTTTGTATAGTCTCTCCTACACTCTGTCCTCCTTCATTGTCAAGGTTTTTCCTTTCCCTGTGTTCTGTGCTGATGGAGAGCCCCGCAATAGCACTTTTAAGAAACTGAACGTTTGGTAAACCCCGCCCCTGAACAGCGATTACCAAGTCATTCTTGGCACACCAGGACTTTCTTTTCTCCACATGCTGAAAGGGTGTGCATGGGACTCTCAATAAGAGCAACATATCAAGAATTTGGAGAGGGTTGTCCCATGTTTTATTCTTTACAAAACCAAAAACACAAGTGCAAAAGTATGTTTTCAAAAGTGTTTTCTGCTGCAACATACACCACAGCAGCATTAAGGCAGGGTGCACGTCATTAGCTAGGTTTTGTCACATCCACTCTGTGGGAACCAAATGCTAATATATCAGTTTACAGCAACAGCTCTGTCTTACTCTTTATTTGCTTGGGGAAGTTTGCACTCCAGCAACTCATAGCAAAGCTTGAGTTAGAGGGAGTTACATTTACCACACTAACTGGTTATTCCATGTCAAATCTTTTTCATTTAACCTCTGTGTTACTTGTCCAATTATATTTTTCTTAGATATGCATTGAACCCATCCAATAAGTTTGATGTTAGAAAGAACATTTTAAATACATTTTTATTTATAATACTGTGCCATAATACCAGGCCTAACTAGCTACACCCTGCAAAATAGCTCCTATATTTTCATTTCTTCTACATAGATCATCAACTGGGGAGGATGCTTTTTTCCTGGGACATGTAGCTTTAGCCTTAGTCTTTTAGCATGATATCTTGTATATAGCTATCACGCACGTATTTCAGAGCCCTTAATGGAGCGTCTCGTTTTAAAACATGTCAGCTCAACTAAGTAACAGTAACTAAGTAAACTGACATGTGGCCCCCTTCATTACCATCAAGCCTATAAGGCTGCATACATGATATCGTGCTGAAGGTTAAAGTTTCTAAGTTGACCTCATGATTAGTTTTGTGATAGGAGATTTTCCTTTTCATTAGAACCATTCACAGTTTTAATCAAGCAGTGTCTTTCTCTCATTGATAATTTATCAGTCCATTTACATTTTCTTCTGACATGTGGATGGTATTTTTCAAAACATATATTTCAATATGTATCATTCTTCATCATATGATGTTGGCTGGCTTGAAGGGTTAACTGCCAATTTTTAAAGGCTGGACACAAAGAAATTTAAGCACTTACTGTGGTTTGTTAAGCTTCAGACACAAATAATCTCCATTTGAAATCATATAAACAAGAAAGCTCCTTCAACAGAATGCCAATTAGCACAACCCGCCATTATATCCTTTACAGCTATATCACCACACATATAAAAATTGAAGCAATTCGGCAACACTATATCAATTGATCTTTTTTTATCAATAGTGAGAGAAACTGTAGTGTGTGCAGCCTATTAGCAAAATTTTCTCATGTTCTTTTTTGTCTATGTGTGCCTGATTTAATCTCAGGGCGAACAGGATCTATCGTTTCATCAGATGTTTAATCTTGGAACATCACATATGCTCCATTTCCCTCACTTTCATAGCTTTATATTCACATGCAAATCCGACCAGGCTCACAACTCATTATAATCGAAGAGGAGAATAGGTCTTGTTGAACCCTTCCTCCTGTCCCACATAAAGTAACATCTGAAAAGATACTACGATTCTGTCTTTTTATCTTGGCTCATTCTGAATTTTACACATTTGATGTCTTTTTTGATCTTTCATGATGTGCACCCACCTCTTTGCACACTGTGGCTTTCTTTTAGCAAATATTGTCTTACTTTCTTTTATTCTGATATCCTTCTTTCCTCTTTTCTGTTTCTGTAATTCATACCCTTCCTCCAATTACCGTCACAACCTTTCCCTTCTCTAGACATTTGAGACACACTGTGTCCTTAAACTAACAAACATCTGAAAAAGTGTGGTGATCTCATTTTTTTTCCCTCCCATTGATGACAGATCACTAGGGTTTGTTTTAAATCTTGCCTTTAAGAGCGTATCAATCACAATGTCCCGACTTAGATAAGAGTCTAAAATGCTGCTTTCATTTTGTGTCCTTTCAGGTATGATGTTGACTCCAAAAGCCCAGACCTGTCCAAACATGTGAGTGCATATACGTTGACCTTGAACCACAGATAAATGGAGGCCAGTCTTGAGTAAAATCTAAATTATTGGCTTGAATGGCTCTGAAAATGAAAAAAGTAAAAATTGCTTGGTGGAAGATGATGTCCAGAGTGAATTGAGACTAAACTCTTTTTATCAGTGGTCTAATGCGGTAATGTTTATGTTTTTTTGTTTCTGTATATTTTAATTCAGTGTTGCCTGCTGCACGTTTTCTCCATGATGAAATAAAGCAAACCCTTTTATTGCCTGATCACAGAAGTATCCAAATACAAATGTTTATTTTTCTCCTTATTCAGTGTCTTTGTTTTTAGACTTTAACAGGGTTGTCCATGCTGTAATTGTGATCTAAATATTTAATTTCTATTTCTACATATCTGTGATTGAGTCTTAATTTGTATCTGTTCTCGTAGTGGTACTGCAGTAATAGGCATTGTGCAATAACTTGCTATACATTCATGTTTGAAAGCTTTGATTGTGCAATGCTTTTATCCATTGGTTTCCATTTTAAGCAATACATTGCATTACGTGATAATTTTTGTTTTACTAGTAAAATAGATACATTGTTTTTTTATCCATGATTCTGGAAACTGTGGTGACAGAAAGCATTGATAAATGTTGAAAATAATCAGTTTTGATGATTATTGGATGTATTTGGATGGCTAGAGTTTGCATTTTTTCATCACTAGCTTTAATCCCACCTGTGTACTCGGAGTTTTAGTTCAGCATGTTGTCGTTTCCACTCTCACTTTGCCATCTTGAGCAGTGCTAGGAGTGCTAGGTATTTGGTATGGTGTTGTGTCTTGGTATATGATGTGCTCTGTTGTTGTTGTCATTGTTGTTATTGTTGTTGTTGTTGTTGCTGCTGCTGCCCAACCTTTCTGGAAGCCTGCAGAACTCAACGTAGGTCCCAGCATCTCTATCACTTCTGACACTGCATGGCTGCTGTCTCACATTCATTATCCTTATCTCAGGAGGAAGGATGGTGTCACTGATCAGAACCAGAGACTGAGAGCCAAGCCAACCTCTCTGCACAGCTCTTAACCACTGTTGCAGTCTCAAATGGCTCCACAATGTGAAAAGAAATAATTGTGTCTTTGTGTCTTTGTTTTTAAAACAAAATGAAGGTGGTGAGACTTTTCAGGGTCTTCCTTATAACAGTGAGTGGAATTAGTGGGCATAACACTGGAGACTCACGGAAATGAAACACTCCATAGCCTGATGTTGAATTATTTAGTGTGCCCTGTCTGCCAAGGCCAAAGTAAAGATACTTGTTTTTAAGACTGTTAAAACTAAACACATCATATGATTTTTTTAAATTAAATCAGTCCTGTCCTAATGCACCAAACCAATGCTGGGTGATACAAAGAGTCTTTGTCTGACATGATTAAGCCTAATATTTTGTCAGTGTGTCTCTAAAAATGTTCTACATTATTGCCCTACGCCGTTGTGTTTCTTCATTGTTCATGGTGCTCTAAATCCCACCATCATTAGTTATGTTGTCATATGTTATCCTCCACCATTCATTAAACCAGTGGTTCCCAATACAGGTGGGGTCCGTTCCGAGTGGGTTGCAATTAATAATTTTTAAGCTATTTCAGAGTTTTTATTTTTGTGAACAAAAATGTTAAGGTCTCACCAAGACATTCTCCTTCCTGACTCGTCACATATGGACACTTGGTCAAGTTGCTTTTTAACGCCTTGTGCGTTGTTTTTGGATGTGCAGGGCTCTGCAGTCAAGTCAGCAACAATAAATATGCGACATCCAGTTAGACTTTCAAAATTAAACTAGTTGTTAACATTGTGAAACATAGTAGCACCCAAACTACTTTGTGAGGTTTAGGAAAAGGTCATGATTTGGTATTAAATAAACATGTTACTTGCATGTGTGTGATAACTTGGGAGTGAGAACGTGTTGGTTTCACACTGGTTAGCTCCGACTCTTCACAGGAGGAAGCTGCTTTTAATTCCAACCAGATTGGAATGAATGGATGGAATAAACTGAAAGGGGCGTTAAAGTTCGTCTACCATACGTGTGGACCGTGGCCTGATATCTAAGTGAACATTCAAGCCCTGACCAGTTGGGAACCCCTGCATACACAGCCATCGTGGTTATGGCAGCATTTCAGTTTAGTTCAACAAAATTTGCTTTACAATTCACAACAAACCTGGTTGTGATGTCACATTGTCAAGCAAAGCACAGCAATGGTGTCTTTAAGCAAACCGAGAGCGCTATTTCTGTTTCACAGCTGACGGCAAGCCCTCAAGTGTCGCACTTTGTACTCTGCAAGCATGGGTTCATGTGATAATGCTACAGTTAATTACTTATTCTTTTTTTTTTTACCAAAAGATGTTAAAACCACCTTTTTTCTGACATGCAAATTTGAATGAACATGAATCTCATTTGCATGGGTTCCAGTGGTATAGTAGTACAGGCTGGAATATTCCTGAGTTTATTCCTAACTATACTCTGATTTGTTGTCTTTCCACTTCACATATGTCAACCTGTCCTCCCTCCTTCTTTCCTTCCTTCTTTCTTTCCTTGTTTTCAGGACTTTTTGGGTCAGATGTTCTGTACTCTAGGGGAGATTGTTGGATCACCAGCCAGCAGACTGGAGAAACCTCTGGGGTAAGTAAGAGTTGAATTTTAATACCCCTAACTCTAAATGTGAGAGGAACTGAGATAGGGGCACCAGAGGGAGTGTGAGTGTTACAAAGGGCAGGAGGATGAGGAGGAGGGAGGAAGGGGAGACACATTGGTGATTTAGCAAGACACGAGAGGAAAAGACATTGATCAGACAAAAGGAGGCGAGGAAGGGAGGGGGAGACAACACATCCTACAGATGTTTTCCACAGATAATTATTGTCATTAAAGCAAAGGGTGAAGCGAGGAGAAAATTACCCAAATTACTGCTCATCTCCTGAACTTGTGCTCTCGCAGTGGCTGAGAAAAATGTAGTGTTAATGGGGTATCCTGTAATCTGTCTTTATATCTATCATCCATCATCATCATCATCAGTCGGCTGGGCTCTTGTGTAATTCAGGTAAAGTCATTTAAATGTCGCAATAAGTGAGATTTGTGGGTTCTTAGCTCTGCATATGTTACCTTGGAGAACATTAAGGAGGTAATATTTGAAAACTGATATACATTGTATGAGCTGTTAGTGCCACATACTAGTATTGGCGAACATTTGAGCAAAGGGTACAATGTCTTTGCTACAGTTTTACCTATTGATCTGTTTGACTAATTTGTAGAATTGTAAATTAATTACTGCAAGTGTTTAAAATATAATACTGACAGTTTAGATAGAGGATAGTGGCCCTCATTCACCAAGTTATTATATAATCAAAGGATAATTCCTGTTTACACAACTTGAATCTTCTTTCCTAGTGGATATTTATCATTTCTATATACCCAAGCTCATAAATAATATATTTACTTAAAGATATACATATTGCACAAATACTGTAAGAATTTGCATCAGCAGTACACATGGGAAAACATATGGTGAGGAGATGTTATGCTTAGATACTGATTGCTTTAAGCAAGTGTGTATGGCTACAAGGAACGGGGGTTTTGTCCTGTAGAAAACCAGAAAAGCGGCCTTGTTTTCATCATTGTATTTTTTCTTTTCTCAACCCATAAAGGAACAAGTAATTCTTTAAATTTGGTGATTTTGAATTTTTCTGAAAATCTGGACATTTATGATTTTTGATGGACAAAATGTTGATTGGTAAAACAAAATTGTGTGAACATGTTTAAAACAGAGAGCATGGACTGATGATTTTGTTACTTGTATTTGGTTTGCGACTTTGGCTTTCTCTTGGCTTTTCCTCCGTTTCCATTACATATTAATGTTTCGTTGACAGACATGTTGGCAAATCTGCACATAATGCATACCAAAAATGTCTCTCCCTAAAGCACACCCCTGATGATGACACAGTTGCAAAGAATTTTCTCACACCGTGTGTGTGTGTGTGTGTATGTTTTGTACTACTGATGTTGCTTACTTAAGGCGAAGAGTGCAAATATAAGTGCGCCTTAAGCCTCTATATCAAGAGCATAAGCCTTAATAATGTTATTACAAGTTCAGTGTCAAGGCATTTATTTGAGAATGGAGAATTTATATGGCATGGTTAGAAAAGGAAATAAAACTCTTGCCAAATTATTCATTTTTAATTTGAGACGCTGCAGCTGAGAGATAACACAACTGCTTGCCAAATGTTATTCTTATGGCAGCCTTTAATCTTTCTTTAAAGGCTGCACGAATAAAGCTCTCCTCATGGTGGAAACCTCTGCAATAAAAAATGTCATTATTTCCACTATATGGTGCATGTAGGGCGAGTCTTCCTTTGAAATGGTCAACAGCTACCAAACTAACACAACTCTGGGTGAAGCATGCAAGACAGTACATCGTCAATGAATTTCACTATGGTCTTCATTTCATGTCTGTTAATGAGTTATTATAGAACGCAATGTGTTTATTTTGAGTGGACTGACACAGGAGTTTATGTGAAGCTTTTCAAGATATACTGGAGAGGTTGTGCAGTGGGTTTGTTTTACCTTCGTTAAGTGAGAGTCACTGAGGTGGAGGAGCAGCGAGAAACACATAGAGGCCCGATGAGCACCCTTATACACACACACACACACACACAAAGATGCATTGCCCTGGTAGATAGTATGCTACCCAGTGGAGTTTGTTTCCGTGGAAATGAAGAGTGATTCATATTTGATTGCTGGAAAATGTCAAGACATTTGTCTAAGCTGTGATTTGTTGCCAACAGAAGAATGTTTCAGAGCATGTGCTTGTCTCAACAAGTCCTCTGCTTCTCTTTTTTTACCCGCACACAATATACTTTTGGTATAGCATTGGGCTGTTGAGCTATGTGTCGCTCTGACTGTCCCCTCCCACCTAAAAGTATGCATTAAATCATAAAAACACAACAACCTTGACTTGTTAACTTGACCATGATAATCTTGGTACCTTCTGCATACACATACACAGACACACAACTGTACACAGTCCCTTTCAGAGCAATACACATTTTATTAATTGATTTCATAAATCCTGTTTCTTGGTTAAATGGCATATGAATGCACAACAGTGTGTTTTATTCTTCTTTCCCTGTTCTATTTTCTCAGGCTAATTGTAATGGCTTTAATCTTCCTGAAATTAGTGCTTGTTTAATTAGGCAGCAGCCGTCGTGATTTTCATTATGGTAAAAAAAAAAAAAAAAAGGCTCCGGAAGGTAAAGAGAGAAAGAGGAGGGAGGGTAACATCAATGGCCATTCAGAGAGTGGTTGTGAGCTTGAGGCACATGGGCATCCAGATAGAGACAGAAATACATACAACGAGGAATAATTGCTATGTCTGATTTTACTCAGAAGCACAACACAAGTCGCCAGGACAGAGGCAAAAAGAAGCATTAGAGTAGAAGTGTAGAAGAAGAAGACTGTAGACAATATTCACTGAAAATATCTAACATTGAATGCAGTACACCTTGCGTGAGATATTCAAACACAGGAACTATTAATCTTTTAGACCTTACCTTTTAGAGTCTTACCTGGAAATCCTGCCGAAGCAGTAGAGACCATGTCTGGTAATCAGTTGGAACGGTGCCTCGGGTGGAGGAAGCACTCTCGAGCTATCTTTCTCACCCTCGCTTCATTCCTTCAGACGCCGGCGCTCCCCACCAAGCCGTGTCGGACGACATCCGCTTTGGTGGGCAAGGCCTACATGGCAGCGGGTCGAGCTGGTGCAAGCCTGCACACCATGGCCACCTTGCAGGCGTACCAGGCCGATCTTCTCAAAGACTGTGACCTAAGGGGAGGTCCCTCTGAGGAGGACCTGACTGAGCTCTGTAGAGCTACAGACTTAACACTCCGTGTTACCAAGGAGACGGCCCGTTCCAGTGGCTACGGAACGCCATCTGTGGCTCAACCTCTCGGGCATCCAGGGGAAGGAGAAGGCTTTTCTCCTGGATGTGCCCCTCTCTCCTACTGGCCTGTTTTGGTGAGGCAGTGGATGCTGTCGTCAGCAGGTTTCAGCACGCCAAAGGCAGGGAGAGGCGTTTGAGCAATATCTTCCCCGCCGGTCTGGGTCCAGGATGGCGACGGCTGAAGAGAGACGAGCTCAGCCCTCGGCTAGCTCCTACCGGCGGAGCCAGAAGTGAAGCATTGCTTCCCGTAGTCCCTCTCAACAAACCTGGGATGCGAGGCGACGCTCTCGCCCACAGCCCCCCGAGAAGATGGGCCCGAGGACCGTCATTCAGTCTCGGCGGGCTCGGGGAAGAGGTCCCCCCCCCCCGAGAGAGACTGACTGAGGTCCCCATCCCTCGTGGTGGCTCAGGCAACAGGCTTCCCGCCGTCTTGGCACTTGGGACACGCTAGTCGCCAGCGAGCTCTCACCAGTCTGCCGGCCTCGAGGGGTTGCAGCTGGAAAACGATCGGGCTCACACACCGTGGGTCGCCGGTGAGTTTCCCTGGCGGTTCTCCGCTTCAGGGTGCCACCGGGGACCTACGCATAACACCGGCCACCAGCCCCGAGGGGTTGGTTCCCTTAGCGGATTTTGTAGAAGCATGGCGGAGCCTTGCAATCATTTCCCCGTGGGTCCTGCGCCCCGTAGTGGATGGCTACAGGCTGCAGTTCCGGGTCCACCCCCCGCAGAAGTTCAACGGGGTGGTCTGGACTGTGGTGCAGAGCCAGGTGTTGGGACAAGAAGTTCGCTCTCTGCTGGAAAACGGGGCCAGAGAGCTTATTTTCCCGCCAGTCAGGGAGTCCGGGTTCTACAGCCGGTACTTCATAGTTCCCAAGAAGGACGGATGGGTTGCATCTGATTTTGGATCTGCGGTCCCTGAACCAATCTCTGAGGAGATTCAGGTTCAGGATGCTCACCATCCCCGCCATCATCCGTTCCAAGGATTGGGTTGTCACGATAGATCTGCAAAGACGCTTATTTCCAGTCTCCATCCGTCCCTCTCACAGGAAGTTCCTGAGGTTTGCCTTCGAAGAAGAGAAAAGAAGAGCGGCTTACCAGTATCGGGTTCTTCCGTTCGGCCTAGCACTCTCTCCCCGCACGTTCACGTTCAAATGCATGGATGCAGCTCTGGCCCCGCTGAGGCTCCAGGGCATCCGCATACTGAACTACATCGACAACTGGCTCGTCCTGGCCCAATCTCGAGAGTTAGCGGTTCGGCATCGAGATGTCGTCCTCGCCCAACTTCAGCGCTTGGGGCTGCGGCTCAACGCGAAGAAGAGCGTGCTGACGCCCGCCCAACAGACTATGTTCCTAGGGTGATGTGGGACTCAACAACGATGCGGGCCCACTTGTCTCCTGCACGCATCGTGCCCATTTTATCCTCAGTGACCAGAGTGCAGTTAGGCCGCGCCATCACTGTTAAACACTTTCAGAGGGTGTTGGGTCTCCTGGCAACAGCGTCCAGTATAATACCTTCCAGACTACTGCACATGAGAGCCCTGCAGTGGTGGCTAAAATCCAAGGGATTCTCCCTGAGGGGAAATCCACTCCGTCTGATACGGGTTACGAGCAGATGCCTTCGCTCCCTGTCTGTATGGAGGAAATCTTGGTTCCTGTCCCAAGGTCCCGCGTTGGGAGCGATCTGTTGCC